ATGTATTCCAATTATCTGTTTTATTGACTTTTTTTTTACAGTGTACCTAATTTATAAAATATTAAATTAATGATAAATAGAAAAATTACAAAAGGAACAAACTTACTAAATCTAAAATTAAAATAATTTTAGTAACATTCAAAATATTAATAAAAATGGTAATATATAAATAATACTAAAATAACACTGGTCTGACCACAGAAAAAAAATGTCCTGCATTTTTCTTTTTGAAAGATATTTGTCCAAATGGTTTCCTTATTGTGTCACTTTAAAGTGCCCCATTATGGATTTTTGAAAATGACCTTTCATGCAGTGTGTAACACAGCTCTAAGCGAATGAAAACATCCTGCAAAGTTTTAAATCTGAAAGTGCACCGTGCATAAAGTTATTGTCTCTCAAAAGAAAGAGTCGACTCTGAATCATTGAAACGAGTCGTTTTTAAAACGAATCCCAAGCCGTTTCATGTTGATGTCAACATGAATCATTAGCATATTGCCCGCCCACTTGTTATTCTTTTGGTTGGTCTGAATGAAAACGCAAATTCATTCTTTGCCACTAGGTGCCGCTGTTGGAGCGGTAAAATGGCGGTTTCCCCGGTAACGCTGTACACAAAGCAGCACTGCGCTCACAAACGCTGCTTTATCAGGCATTACAGGCATGACGCGGACCAATCACCGCAGATTAGCATCACGCAAAGGAGGGGTTTGGAAAAATGAATAGTTGAGCAAATCGTTTGGGAGTCGTTGAGCAAACAAGGCAAAAATAAATGCATATTATAAAACAATGAAAGTGTTTTTTGACCTTGCATTAGGGATGGGCGATATGGGCTTAAAAATATATCACGATGATTTCTGATATTTATTGCGATAACGATATCAATGACGATAATTTAGGGAATCCTGTTTCTTTAGAGAAAAGTATTATCTTTCCTATTTTTACCCAAACTAGGGTGTTGTGAGCATTACTGAGTACACACGCAATGTAATGACTGTTTCATTCATACTGGAAGCCGGAGGGTGCCCTTGCGCAGAAACTCCACATATGCAAAGCAATCTTGGGTATTTTTTATAAGGATAAAGTATATTTATAATGCAATGCTAATCGACATAGCCTTTATCACTCTATATAATGCTATAAAATAGTATTTCTGTCTTATTCTGATACGAAACCACGTCTGATCACAAAAATAAGTTATTTCAAACACTCGACTATGTTATGAAGTTAATATGGAGAGCATGTCAATAAATTAAAATATCTTTGTTGGACAACAGGTTTGTAAATGACTCATACACATGTAAAACTGTGTCGCACACGTGCTACTGTAGTACATTTACTCAAGGCTCAGACCGATTTTTGTCGCACTGTACAGCCCTATCCAAACCTGTTTCAGATTGTAGAAGGTGCTGCTCAATTTCACGTCCGCCTTCCTTCACATCACTCGCACACAGAAATATGTCAACAACTAGACTTTATGGTTATTATCGCTGGAAGATGAATTATTATGGTGTGGAGAATTTTTACCGGTATAACGCAAACGATAAGATATCGCCCATCCCTACCTTGCATGCATGTCAACCTGTTGTTGGGGACTCCCAAAACCAAAATATGAACCTTTCATTACCCATAATAGGGGCACTTTAAGAGCTCTTACACTTTAAAAGCCTTACTTTGAAAGTCTTCTGGGCTCCTTTCCTCATGTAGATGTTCTCGACTGTGCCTTTATCTGCAAACCACTCTTTAATCTCATCCAGCGTGGTTTCAAGAGGAAAACCTTTCTGTTGAATTTAAACATTAACATCAGTCAACCAACAGAAACAAAAGAGATGGAAAAACAACAGTATCAAATAATACAAACAGGACAAGACGACATGTTAAAATGCTATTATAAGCTGTTTGTTTTAGAGCAAATGAGGCCGAAAGAGGAACTTAATGTCATTGTTCCCATTCGCTCACCATGTAGACGGATTTGTGTTTGAGCACATCCCTGTATTCCTCATTGTCCTCTGGAAGAGGTTTGTTCGGATTTCGTCTTATTTTGGTTTTGTCCTCGCTGATCTCCAGCAGACCCGTTTTAGATTTTTGCAGCGACTCCACAATAGCAGCTGCATCTGACGTGAGACTCTTTAGTCTGTGAGGACCAATACAAAATGAGAAACAAAACAGCAGCAAAAACCCTGATGCCCAAAGCCATGTGATTTACAAGCTATGTGAACTGACATGTGTTGAGTGTTATTTTTAAAAAGGAATATTTCTAATTACTAGCTCTTTTCACATGCAAAAACAGTTCACGGAGATCCAAAAAACACACACGCATTATTCAGAGTTTCTGCAGGTTTTATGACTCTTTAAGACCAACTAAATAAAATTTGAGGAATAAACTGAAGGGAATACAATATCTGTATTCCATACAATATCAATTAATTGTATTAGCAACACTTCAAAGTTTGAAAACTGAAGTTCCAACAGATCTTCATTGCTTTTAACTTCAGTTTTTAACTCTTTTACGTGATGTTCATCCTCAGAATTTTGTTTTCCAGAGCAAATGTCTAAAGTCAAGATATATTGACAAGAAACAAGAACAAATATCTATAAAACAAGAACAAACATCTATCAATTGGCACAGAAAAAACAAATTAATTCAAAGAGAAAACAAGTTTTTATACCCATTTACAAGTTTTTATTCCTAGTTTTACACCCATTGCCATTTAGTTCCTGTTTTAAGCATAAACTCACTTAATTTTGTTCAATTTCTCAAACTTTGTATCTTGCATATGCAACTAAATGTATCTTGTTTTTAAGGATGTTTTAAGTATTTGTATTGTAGGACAAAAATACTGAGGAAAATATACTTTAAACGCAACATTTAATGTCATGACTTTATGAAATTAAGACTTTCTGGTCCATTTTACAATCTTTTAATGGACTTAATCTGTGAAAGGGTGAATTTTAGCACCAGCAGAAACTCCGTTTCCATTTGTTAATTTCCAGAAACATGATGCATTTCTCTTGTAGTTACCTATTAAATTTCAGCATTGTCTCCAGAGTGACCCAGCCATCATCTAGCTGCAGCTGCTCCTTCAGAAACTTGTCTCGAGGGAGATTGTGGTCACCAAAATAATACTAAACACACAGAAACAATGACATTCATGTCACTCATTTGAATGAAGGCTTTGAAGGAGAAAATAAACCTACTTATGATGCTTATCATCTCACCTCAATTTGTTCCACCACCTTCTTCTCCAGAAGAGACATTTCCTGATTGTCTGCCATCTCTGCTGGGATGAGATATATCCCAATGAGGACATATACATATATATATATATATATTTTTTTTTCTTTCTTTCTTTAAAGTCTGTAAGCACTTAAACTGTTTCTGTTTTGCACTTTCTATAAAAGTAACATCACAAACCTGTATTATCAGCATAACAATTCAAATAAAAGACTGATGACAAATTGCGGTGAAGCGTGTGATTCTCAAACCACGTGTGAGTAACGTTACGTTACAGCAGAACTACTGCATGCCGCTTCTGTTTTAAACTGAGTGCTGACTGTTGAAGTGAATACATCCAGCGTTAAATAGCACTAAAAATAACCTGTCTGTAGGCTATAAATTCAGTCAATAGTTGTTATAAATCTTTATAAATCATGTACGCCACGCGCGCCACATGTCGCAGAATGACACTGAACAAACATCGCGCGCCCAATCGGTCACTGCTGTTTTTCTATCCTGCTGTTTTTCTATCCTGTTTGAAGCATTGCGACACTGTAAACATCAGAAAAACAAGCAAAAACACCATACTCACTTTATCTGCGTTCTGATCCGTCGAATCTCAATCGAACGCCACACTAAACGCTCTCCGAACGTGAATCAAGGGGGTGGCGTCGCGTTGTTATGACGTCACGCAGAGACCGCGGGGAGAATCATGGGAAAGTGAGTTCAACACGGAACACAGTATTTTTACATAAACTTCGAGCTCTTTTTAAATCTTTTTTTTTTTCAATAATTTAAAATGACTTCATTAGTTTTACCATGCTCCTGTGTACTACTAATAAAGCAAAACACAGGCGATTTATTAATAGGCGCTTCAGGCATTTTATTTGAAATATGTCATTTATATATATTATCCCTAACAAAAGCAAGAAGCCAGCTGCATGAAAAAAACACAATTATAACTAATGGTTTAGCTTAAGAGGTTTGTGCAGCCGGGTATTGTTGCTTAATAACATCATGAACTCAGTTTGTGCTTCATTAAATTATGACTGCTATCTAGACTTAGTTTAACTTCCATTTCAGATACAATCATTCAAAGAAACAAAAGGTAAGCCATAACTTAGACTGGGTAATTTATTCCTTTATAATCAGACACTAAACATGTGAATGGCCTGTGTGTCACAAGTACAAAGGACACAAGATTTGTTGTAAATATTAACAGGAACAAGGTCTCAGTTTAGGAGAATATGGCGATGCTCCAGTCATATAACTTTTCTGACATGCAAGCTTCTCTGTCATTGATAAACCAATACTAGAGTCCATGCTCTCCTTCCATCCGTCTGCTTTCAATACAACACACCGAATCAAGAATCAGGCTGCATTTATAATACCCATCTAAACTCAAGCTCATTCAGGAACAAACATTCACAACACTGTTTATCTAAAGTCAAGAGTGACAAGTCTCACCCCAAACTGCTGTTATCAGGACTCAGCACGAGCTACTATGACCCGGCTGTGAAACATCACTGAGACATACAGTGGGGTCCAAAAGTCTGAGACCACATTGACAATCTGAAAATAAAAATACAAATTAAGTGTTTCAGTAATAAATATAATGCCGTAAAATTTTAAGGAAATTAACATTTAAAATTTCTGACAATTTGTAAAGTACATTTCCTTATGCAAATACTTTTATTATTTAATAAATGTATTTGTAATATACAATCAATTTAAAAATATTAATAAAATATAAAAAAATGATATAACTAAAATAAAAACTACTAGCGGTCTCAGACTTTTGGGGTCCACTGTATATATGCAAATATGATACTAACAAGCAGATTCGGGTTTCCAATAATAATAATATGGTTCGTATTATAACTTCTGCATTGAAATATTAAACTATTTTCATTTCATAGTAGTACCAAACTGCAGTGTCACATTCAGGCCGCATTAATTCTTACAACATGACAATAATGGTATTTATCGGCATAGTATTTTTTCATCATGCAGATTTTAGAATAAATATTTAGCTAGCATGTTAAAACATTTGTTCATTTTAACGTTCTGCAGCAAACCTCAACGAATTAAATATTAAGCACCTCAAACTGTTAAATTATTTGTTATATGAATCCAAACAGTGAGCTTATCTTATGATTTAAATCTCAAAGAGATTTAAAATTACTGTCAAAAACAATTAGATGTAAATCTGTTAAAAATGACATTTTAAAATGTGCACTGCAACCGAAACGTAAACTTAATTATGACATATTACACCATGCCCGTATTATTTTATCAAGTAGATTAAGGGGGAAATGAGCTATAATAGGATGCACATAATGCATTTACTGCAGAATAAACGTGCTATTCATTTAGTTCAGTGAGTCTGTAGTTTTGGCTATAATACTATATTACTCAATTAGAGCTCTTAATTGCCTGAGGATTTCATTGCCACTAGCCCAGGGCATGATTTTCGCATGCAGTGCTTCTGAATCCTCTGAAATGGCTTTGCACAACCGTTTCTCTAGGGTGAATCCTTTCCTAGGCATTGCAATATCCCCTTCTTTCAATTCTTTAATGGGGCAAAAGTCATTTCCTCCATCTCCTATATAGCAAATCCTCTCATAATGCACATCAGCCTTAGCTTGCTTCTCTCTGAAATCTTGCAGCACCCTCCTCTTGCACAGGTTTACAGGACATTGCCGACAGTCATGCGCGTGAAAGCAGCGCACACTCATATAGCCGCGCGCATCGATGCTGGCAGGGTTGGTGAAGACGTCATCCATAGCAGACTTCACCCCTGATGCATGCAAAACCCAGTCTATGAAGACACTATTAGAATCGGAGATTATAATGCAGTCGATGTCTTTCTTGTGCTCAGATATGAAGGTCAGGAGCTCGATCATGCCATCAGTAAACGGGATGCTCTCCATAACCGCGCGCATGTGCTCCGGCCGGACGGACTGCTCTCCGATGTAGGTCAAGACTCGACCCATATACTCGGTCCAGCGGCCTCTCTGGTACGACTTCTTTAGCCAGTCCGGTAACGTCTGCTCAGGAGTGGAGCGGATCACCCATGTGTCGCTGTTGTCATCCACTATAGTGTGATCGAAGTCGAACACTACTAAAGTCTTCATTCTGCGCTAAAAACACAGTATTGACATAATGACCGACAAACAGATGTTCAATATCCAACATATATTTATCAGAAAGTCAAGTAACGAGATGCACGCAAGCAAATCAAATATATACTGACCTGAAGCTGCAGCTTGACTGAATTATTCGATTTCGTTAGCGATTCTGAGACCGATACCAAATTGCTTACAACACAAAGCATGATTAGTCACCGCCCCTCAAGCGATGGCTCGTCTCTGATAGGCCGCCGCTCACGTCACTCAAATGTCTTGGGACGCTCCGATTGGTCACTCGAATCGTAAGCGCTTGGGTCGTTCTTGCTTTGTTTCATTCAAAAAAGTGAATTCCGAATGAAAACGGAAATGTCTTAAAATATAGACACTGCTAGTAAAATATTTTAGAATAGTAGTCATAAAGTTATTAATAATAATAATAAAAAAAATATATAGTTATAAAAAATAATGCACATTAAGACATCAGTAAAATGTCTCAAGCATGAATACAGAGGGGAAAAAAAAGATATCACCATGACTGATTAATCAGTACATTAAGACAATTGTTTTATTACATGTAGGGCTGAAACTATTAGTAGACATTATCGACAATAAAAAAAAAATTGTCGACAAATATTTTTGTTGTCGAATAGTGGTTTGATCTCATATGACTTAAAGGGGTCCTATTATGCTTTTTCAACACAACCTAGTATGAGAGCCTGTTCTAGTACACCCCCAAAACAAAATCAAAACTTTGTAAAAGAGCATAATAGGACCCCTTTAATGGAAGAGCCTGCAATAACGCGGTTTGACCAGTGTGGCGCTGTAGCGCAAGACTGTAATTCAGCTCTCCCAGATGCAATTCAAGAAAAGAAGACAAGTAAAAATGTGCTGCACGCTTTCCTCTCAATAACGAAATAAACACACATCAAAAATGACAGCGTTGAGAAAACAGCAGTTAAGAAAGCATCTTATCATAGCGATGTAGATAAGTTTGCACCAGCTCTGCAATCGGCACTCCAGTCACATCACGTTTATTTAAATAGCGCTTTATACAATAGATTGTTTTAAAGCATGCAGCTTTACAGTATTAAACAACAACAACAAAAAAAGTCTCACAGTGTTAGTCTGGCTTTCAGTTAGAATTACAACTTGATTTTCTGCTATAAATCAGCTGTCTAGTGTGGAGTTAGCTAATGATAGAATCTTTTTATTAGTGAATGCATAAATAAATAAATACAAATAAATAAAAATTATATTAAAGTGATAGTATGGTTTTTGCATAGATTAAAGCTTGATCTAGCTCAGGACTGTTTTGATTACTATGACACTATAAGGTGTTTTAAGAGAGCTAATGTTGTGAATAAAATAATGTATCGAAAAAATGTCTTTGCACTTTATTTTGTTCCATATATGGCTTACAAAAGGAGATGTTAGGCAGAATCTCTCTGTCATCTGATTTTGTGTGCCAAATATATTTATTTGCATTGTAAAAAAAAATAATTGTAATTGTACAATAGTAATATAATTATTTGACATTCACTTCAAAGCTGACGTGATCACCTTGTTTTATTATTAGTTACAATATGTGTAACTCAGTATTACCTATAACTAATTGTAAAAGCAGAATAATAGAAGAAAGCCTACTGATTAATTAGTGATATAATTGACGATTAGTCAATTAACTGTTGTAATGATCGTTTTTTTAATCGATTATCAAAATAATCGTTTGTTGCAGTCCTAATTATGTGTTTTCTGAAATATGTTTAAATATGGAAATGTGTTATCAAATTAAATTTGAGCAAATTTTCGCACATTTCCAGAAGAGAACAGAGAATCTGAAGATTGGATAAAGCCAGGTTCCAATGTCCCATTTCATTTTGCTGACATATTAAAGGTTTTTACAGAGGATTCTGGAGATCCCTTTCTGTCACTCCATACCGTCAACAGCAAGAAAAATATATATTTTTAGGTATACAATGTTATATAAATTAGGCAAATGATACATGAACAAACCCCTCTGTAATAACCTTCAGAGTATAGATACACTCTAAAAAAATGCTGGGTTGTTTCAACCCAACTTTGGGTCAAATATGGACTAACCCAACCATTGGGTTACATTTTTACATTAAATTTTTAACCCAAAAGTTGGGTTAGTCCATATTTGACCCAAAGTTTGGTTGAAACAACCCAGCATTTTTTAGAGTGTAGAAATAAAACTGAAGGTGTTGTATGCAAGTGCTGCTGAGGAGAACTTGGAAAAAAAAACTTTTGAGAAGATCTTTTAAAGATATTGTTTGTAATTGAAATCTACAGATGCAAACTATTCCTATCATTAAATGTGTATTTTGGATGTTTTCTTTCCAAAATTCTGAAAGAAAAGTTATGGAAGCAAAATAGCTCAATTGTGAGATGCATGAAAAATATAGAAATGCTAATATTAACGCACAATGGTAGAACTTTTTAGATATAAAACACTAAAATCAATTTCAGACTTTATATTCACTAAATATTACATTTAATACGTTATTAAATTATTCATGCTTTTAAAGGTTTGCTGGAATGTACCTAAAATACCTAAATCTAAAAATAGGTGAAATGTGTAAAATAACCAATATCAGCCAAAACAGAAAAAAAAAGATAAATGAAAAAAAAAAAAATCTCTTACCAATATATGCTGCATCCTTAATTCCTAATTGCACTTGCAGAAATTAGGAAGAGGTTTCAATCAACAGGACCACTGAAAGTGAAGTTCACAGGTTCAGTATCAATTTTTATTTGTCATATTAAACAGAACCTAACACTGTCATCTCTTTACAAACATAAAGCCCTTACAAAACTCCAAGGTACTCAAACATGTCCCCAACAAACACCTTTTAAAAAACACAGCTCAGATCGAACAGAAAAGCAATTAAGCAACCATTTTCACTAAACGTTTATGTCGGGATATGGGCAAGAAAATGAAAACAATTGTCTGATAAAAGCTGGACAAATATAACCGATTCAACTGAAACAAATTAGGATGCAATTGGTATCAGCCATTAAAAAAATATTCCAGGCGTTCAGGAGAAGGGCATGTCTGGTTCACACGATGACTAAAATATGTCTCTTTGTATCCATCATTGTACAGCAAGTCATTGATGGGGAAAAAGAAAACAGAAATGGAGTGGTACATGCAGTCTCTCAGTTGCTGTCACTGGAAGAGGAACCCTTTTTCTTCGCATCTTTGCTTGGACTTTTAGATTTGTCCTTCGCTCTCTCTTTAGATTTCGGACTCTCGCTCCTTTTTCTCTTCTTCTGTTTATCAGCATCGCTCTCAGAATCGCTGCTTTCACTGTCACTCTTTTCTTTCCTCTTCCTGCCGCTCTGTCGATCATCTCGCTCTCGGCTTCTCTGTCTCTGGGAGGATCGTTCTTTGGAGCTCCTGTCTCGTCCTCTGCTCTCTTTGCTCTTTGACTCCTCTGCACTCTTCCTCTTGTTTCGGTCTTCTGCGTCTCTCCCGTGGTCCCGTCTGTCTCGCTCTCTGCTTCTCGACCGGCGAGATGATCTTCTGTCCCGGCTGCTGCTGTGGCGCTTGTCACGGCCTCTGTCGCGTGATTGGCCACGCTTGTCACGGCCTCTGTCGCGTGATTGGCCACGCTTGTCACGGCCTCTGGACCTGGACTTGGACCTCCGTGATGCATCGCGTCCCTTTTCTCTGCTTCTAGATCGGTCACGACGCTGCTCTCCATTCTTCTTCTTTTCCACCTCCTTCAACTTTTCCTTATCATTCCCTTCCGGATGTTGTTTGGTCCTTTCTTTGCTTTTGTCTTTTTGTTCGCCGTCCTTCTCTCGCTCTTTGGCATCTTTCTCTTTCCTGTCCTTGCTGCTTGAGCGTCCCCGTTTGTCATCTGCTTTGCTGTGCTTTTCCTTCTCTCTCTTCTTGTCTTTGCTCTTGCTCCGGCTGCGAGCTTTCTTCTTTTCCGCATCAGCATCTGTCTTTTTCCGTGCATCCCTATCTCTGCTTTTGGAGCGATGTTTGTCCCTCTTCCTATCTCTTCCTCTGGAGGGACTGCGTGATTTTTCCCGCTTTGCATCTCTCTTTTCTCGTTCAGAGTTCTTTTTTGCTTCTTCTTGTCCTGAAGCTTTGTTCTCACTGGCTGGTTCAGTGGCTTCTGTCTTTACCTCTGACATATCTCCTCTGAAAAAATAAATACATGAAAGATTTATTTTCAAGTAAGAATAAAAATTATGATAATATATTTATTTACTAAATTAGATAATATAGATAACACTTGAGTGCAAGTAATGTTTTGGAACAGCACAAGGGCAAGTAAACAATTTCACTTTTGAGTGAACACATCAAGTTTATTAACTTCTCATTTCATGAATCCTGGATGCAATATTTTGCATGCAGTGAAAAATTGCACATACTTGTCCCCTTTGATCCATCGATCCTGGGTGGCAGCTGTGTTGGCTTTAGCTTTCTGTGTCCTTTGCATTTCCTGCCTCCAGTGTGGAGGCGTCTCACTGCGGCGAAACCGATCCCATGACCGCGAGCGAGATCTAGATGGTGTCCGGTAGCGCTACAGAAAGTAAAAAATAAATAAAAATGAGTTTAAATTTCTTTCAATAAAAATCAGAAAGAAAACATGTAAAACAAAACATGCATCGTTCAACAGTTTGGGATCAGTTAATGTTTTTTTTATATTCAGCAAGGATGCGTGAAATTGACCAAAAGTAACAGTTAAGACATTTATAATATTTAAAAAAAAAAATGCTATTTTAAACTAATGTTATTCTATTGAACGGTTTTCAACATTGATAATAATCAGAAATGTTTCTTGAGCAGCAAATCAGCATATTAGAATGATTTCTGAAGGATCATGTGACACTGAAGACTGGAGGAATGATGCTGAAAATTCAGCGCTGCATCACAGGAATAAATGAAATTTGAATATGCATTAAAATATAATTTTTTTTTTTTAAATGGTTAAAATGTCAAAATATGACTGTTTTACCTGGATTTTTTGATCAAATAAATGCAGCCTTGCTAAGCAGAAGAAATGCCTTTCAGAAATCTTACCGACCCCAAACTTTCTGAGTGTATTAACATTTAAAACTCATGCCCCCGGTTTCACAGACAAGGCTTAAGCCTAGTCCCAGACTAAAATGCAAGTCTGAGTGGTTTCAACTGAAAGAATCTTGCACTGATTGAGCTTGAAATATGTCAGTGCCCTTGTTTTGTCTCAAGATGCACACCAGTAATGTTTTTTCTAAGGCATGTTTATA